AAAAAGTAACCAAAACCTTTCTTAATGAAGCATGGTTGTAGACCGCAAAGTTCTGATTAAAATGAGATATCTCCCAGCTCTACACGACCTTTCTTTGCAAAGTTATAGAATTTAGAATTTCCACGAAAAGCCCTAAATTATAGCTTTGAGCTGTCAATGAACATTTAGGGCTTTTCTTGTAAATTCTAAATTCTATAACTTTGCAAAGAAAGGCCGTGTAGGGCTGAACAGGTCTCATTTTAATCAGAAATTTGCGGACTACAATAATGCCTCATTAAGAAAGGCTTTGGTTACTTTTTAGAGTTTCGGAAAGACTGGTTTTCCAGAAAACCGGATCTTCGTACGGTAAAGGGCAGCCCTCATAATCATATTCGGAATCAGCATAGTCGATAACCTATAACCCACTAGATTTCAATCAAAAAGCGTTTTATCACCTCGAGAGGTTCCCTCGTCACTTATATCTGTAATTGTTTTGGGAATACAATCTAACATTTCTTTTATATTAGATTATTCTGAGATTATTCCTGTATTCCACTGTTATACAACAGTTCATTTTACAACAATTTTTATATAGCTGTATACAGGAACTTTATTTTAATTTCTAATTGATTTGATTACTTCTTCAAAGACAATTAACCGCTATGTTTCAAAAGATTATTCTTTTATCAAATTCATATACTTTTCTCTTACAGTTTATTCTACTCTGATACTATTTAGACTTTCCTACAAGAGAAATTATTCTGTTTCTTCTGTTTCTTATTTACTTAAAGATTAAAATAAGAATAGAACAATTTTTACGTTTTCATCAAATGTTCATCTCTTATATATTCAAGGAGGAGAGTGCTCACTGTAAATTTATTTCGTATTGTGGCAACTTCGCGAACTAAAATTACATTAATTAGAAAAGTCCCATTTCCATTTCTTCTTCTAATTTAAAGTACACGAGTTGTACACCATACTTATCTATTTTTTAGAAAAGGATTACTTGTTAGTTTTTGGGATATATGTCTGTAAATATGTCTGTAAATCTCAAAATTTGGAAGGAAATTACATTTCGAAATTCATTGGAACGTCTAAATAGTATCAGAGTAGAATAAACTGTAAAAGAAAAGTATATGTATTTTTGATAGACTGATAAAAGAATAATCTTTTGAAACAAAGCGGTTAATCGTCTTTGAAGAAGTAATCAAATTAATTAAAAAATAAAATAAAGTTCCTGTATACGGTTTACTCTCAATTTGTCCCACAAATTTTTTTCTCAGTTCGTTCCAATTTTTTTAGTCTCAATTCGTCCCATTTTTTAAATACTTATTCTTCATAAGTTCACTTATGTTTAACTTAATTTCCAGAAATGGAAACAAAAAGATATTATTAATACATTGTCTTTATTCCATATGATTTAAATTTACCACAGGTTTACTTTTTTCGGTTTCTGTGAAACTTAACATTGCAAATCTCACTCACAGGACAACTTTTGTTCAAACGTAAATTTCTACTGTCTGCTTTAGATATGTTTTTGTACATATTTTTATTGATTTTGTTCTGCCCAACATGGACGAAATTCTTGTTATTTTGAAGAACACAAAGTGAAGTTAGGGAGAATAAGTATTTAAAAAATGGGACGAATTGAGAGAGAAGAAAATTGGGACGAACTGAGACTAAAAAGAGTGGGACAAACTGAGAAAAAAATTTGTGGGACGAATTGAAAGAGAGCAATAAGGGACGAACCGAGAGGACACGGACAAGGATTTAAAAGATAACGGTGATTAGCCCGAAAAGATCACGGTCCTTGAATAATTCACTTTTTGGACTGAAAAGTTAACCGAAAATGAATTATTTAAAAAAAAGACTGAAAAGATAACGGAGAAAGGGCTTAAAAGATAACCAAAAATGTCTCCATCTCAATGGATCCAACGTTTATCAAATAATGATCACCAAACATTTGACAATTTTAAAATGTGGTACGAATCGGCACATGTAGTTTCAATTCAATATCAACGTTGTTCACCAGAACTTTTTGCAAGCAATACGTCTGTAAACATTTGATAGGTCTCAAGATGATTTTCGGTCTATGTCGTTTTGATACTGTTTGCTGTGTTCAAGAATGTAAAACATTATCTTGAAAATAAATATTATTAAAACAACACTAGGCTTTTGTAGCACAAAAAGGAGCATTTGGATCCGTAGGACGGCAGAAGGCAAGTAATTAAGCTGATTGATAACACCGTTTTCTTTTCAGTACTTTTTATCCATAAACCGAAACCGTTTTCTTTTCGATCTTATTTCCGTAGTCTTTTCGTTTTTTTTTATTCCTTATCTTTTCGGTGTTATTGGTTTAAAAATCGGCGCAACCGTGATCTTTTCGGGCTAATTGCCGTTATCTTTTCACACTTTATCCAGAGGACACGCTGTATACATCTATATAAAAATTATTGTAAAATGAAATGTTGTGTAACAGTGGAATACAGGAATAATCTCAGAATAATCTAATATAAAAGAAATATTAGATTGTGTTTTCCCAAAACAATTACAGATATAACTGAGTAGTCAGTCTTGATCAAAAGACATATATATCAAATACTAACAATAAAACATAGTACTGACTTATCACGATACTGTCTTCTTTAATATTTGGGAATAGTTGAGAAATGCTTATATGCTACAATGCTCTATATATACAAATAAGAAGAACATCATTATATTTTTTCCTCATTTAATCATAAATCATAAAGAGAATTTATTTCAATAAATTTATTTACCAAAATAAATTTCATGTGTACGTATACATACATCAAAAGACATCGATAATATCTCGAAATGCCAATAAAATAAATCCGTTATACCGCTGCAGAGTAGCAGAGAGAACGGCAAGAATTTTTAAGTGCTCTCTTAGAAAAAGAATTTTTTAATCCTTCCTTCATGAAGACAGCCCTCTATAAAGATTATTTTTCGTTGAATAATCTTTTGCAAAATCTGTATGTACATATAGTTACGAAGATAAATGATATTGATTTTATGACATACAATGTGCTTACGTATTTATACCATTTTTCTATCTGTATTTATTATAATAAAGATCATGTTACTTATTCTGTTCTTTTTCAACTCCTTCCATGCACAAGCAGAACTTATAAAATAAACATGCGTATATACACCCATATGTACACTATTTCATGCCACAATCACAGCAGGATGAAAAGAATAATACATCTTTACAAAGCCATGATTTAAGGTCAAGCGTTATTTTAGCTTAAAGTAAGATCTCTATTCTGACATCAGTAGTATTGCATCACCCTTTGATAGTTTGAATGAATGACTAAAAATCATTCAACTGTGATTAAAATACTCGAGAAGTTTTGTACTCTGATCATGACTACTTTACATAACTCTATTTTTTCATTTAACATTAACAGTTTTTAAAATGGATTTTTTTATAAATGAGGTGACAGTCTCGACTTTTCAGCTAATTACAGCGTGTAATCGTCATTTTGTAAATATCATTAAGATCAACAACTTCATGATCATATATGTCAACAACAATAAAATATTGTGCCATACTATTCTTAATCACCATATACATTTTGATAGTCCTATCGATATTTACAAATATTTCATTGAACGATATTTATATCAAAATAAAGTTACCAAAACAATCCCAAAAAAACAATTATATCAAAATGGAATCACCAAAACAATCCCAAGAAAAGGATCATGGTTATTATTTTTATGATGAATACAAAATCTATGAAAACAAATCTGGCGATTGTTCTTTTGATAATATATTAGCGTGTCAATATATTCAAAATCGAACATTTTTGTACATTATGGCTGGTAGATTTGGATTTGGAAGTGAGATGAATCAATTACTCATAGGCTTTGCGTATAGCGTAGCTACTAAACGACGTTTCTTAATCGATAGCCGCCATTGGAATTATGGACGTTTCGAAGATTATTTTCAGTTAATACGATCAAAATTTATACTTGATGAGTGGAAAAATCATACTTTAAAATTTCTCGAGGAATATGACACAGAAAATGATCATGTACCACATTTAAAAACAACAAGAGAGGGAGCTCAAGTGGTAAAATTTTGGAGAGCCGGAGGAAACATTGACCGCATTAGAGTAAAACAGAAAGAGACACCAATTATGTCGATTACGATAAAACGCAAGGTCGCTCATTATTTATGGCGATACATGACAAGAGAGACATATGAAACAATTAAATCATCTATTTCCAATGCAGGTATGCTTGATTATTTCAATAGTAATAAACTATTTTATGCATGTCACATTCGAAAAGGTGATAAACTTAGAAAAGAAGCGTCGGACATACCATTAAATCGTTATATTCAAGCAATTGAACGTTTAGCGAAAAACCAAGGAATGAATATAACGAATTTTTCCGTATTTGTCGCTGGCGATAACCATGAACTCGTACATAATTTAAAAGAATTAAAACCTCAGTGGACATTTCTCTCGTTTCATTATCAGAATAGTACTAAATTGGGCCATTTTCAAGACAAATTCAATCGTTTGTCAAGTGCGAAAAAATTAGTAGAAACTCGACTCTTCCTAGCTGAATTAGTAATGGTGACAAGAGCGTACGGCCTGATTTGTACAATGTCATCGAACGTATGCCGACTAATACATATTTTAAGATATCAGGCAGAGAATACCGTTGTGTCTTTAGACAGAAGATGGTATGCGACGAGATAACAAGCGTTTTCAAGTAAAATTTGAATTTTTAGATTTGGTTTATTCCCTAGTACTTGGGGCCAACTACTTGGACCAAGTACTTCGTCTGCGTAATGAAGCCGGTACTTGCCTTTTTTCAAGAAGTAAATTTACTTGTAAGTACTTGTCCTTACTTGTCAAGTACTTTCAGAAAGTGCTTCTTAGTAATAAGGCAAGTATTTCGATCATTGACAAGTACTTGCATCAAGTACGTTCTCTAGAGTTGTACCTTACCCTAGAGAACGGATAGTATAAGCCGGATCTTATTTAGAGTGTTGAATAGTAAAACACATCTAAACTTGTTTTCTCATTCCAGAAAACATAGGATACATTTTTATAACTGTTTATAACAGAATTGCTAGCTTTCTTATTGAATTTTACCCAATCCATGAACGTTTTCTCGAGGAACACACATCAGAGAGCGAAACGGGTCGGGTCAGATCCGATCGTCTCGGGTTCGGGTCAATGTAAAAAATATTGGTTCGGATCGGGTCAAAGGAAAAAAAATTTCGGGTTTTATTCGGGTCTTGCCACTAGAACACAAATCAGGAGAGTTTCGTCGGTTACAATTCACTCTTCTATT